GATATCATCATCACGTAGCGACAAGATGCATGTGAGAAGCTGTCATGAAATTTATTGGTCAATAAATCCTGCCGTACACGCCTGTTTTATATTTTAACTGGGGAAAAAATGCTTCAAATATGTATAAATATGTCATTTTGACACTTCCAAATTCTGCGGAAGTGAAAGGAGCAAACCTTATTGTTGCTACATTAGCTGATTCCGTCTAACATTAAATATGCAGTGGCAAGAAGGAATCCCACAAATTGTGTTAATAATGGCCCGTCTGAAGTACTACACGCGCGTACACACCAGTGACGCCCAAGTACCTTCAAGGCTGGCTCACACATGACCTTGCTGGAGGCGCTGTCACGATTGCCTCGCTCTCATACTTCGGACGCCAGCCTCGGCTGCTGACTAGTTTTTGCATAATACACTATCCCTCCCACATACCTTCCCATTTTTTCGCCCCCTCCCCTTTACGGCATCGGACCCGAAGGTGATAGCAGCTGGGGTCCTCCTCATTAACTCAATCCATTCTGAGATGCCCTCTGAAGCTGCATTTCCATTGAAGAAGATGAAATTGCGATAGAATGGTCACGCCATTACGATAGCTTACGAGCAAATTCTCAGGAACCAACTTTATGGCGAAGTCGATTAGGATATTTTCAAGTAAGTTGAACAAGCGCGAAAATACAAAAAGACGTCGAAACTATATATATATATATATATATTAATCCAGAGACGTGGAATTCTTCGCACAAAATCAGCGGGCTTGGTGCATTGCAGTATGCAGCTACTGTTACTGAGAACGGAAACTGTTTGAAGCCACCGCCTTACGCGAAAGTAAGAGGTACCGTTGCGCGGTACCGTTAGCCAAGTCGACCGTAAAATGCTCACGCACGTGCATAAAACTAGGCAACCAGTTAGCGTGCGGTGTAGCGAGGAACGCGTTCGATGTCTTTGCTCAGGCATGTGGCCTTACCAGTGGCCAGTCGAACATTCGCGATTTTTCCTCGAGGGGATTCTTGCGCAAAAAAGCCAATCTAAGACCGACACGCCATAAGCCAGCATGTTCTAGACCGTACTCTACAAATTACTCTCTTAAGGTCAGCTTGTTCTAGAACGTTGTGGACTCCAGATGAATACTGTTAGTTTAGGATAAGAGAAAAATCAGTTTGTTTTCAGGCTGAGCGCGAAGTGTTTACTTCAGAAACCCGCTTTTCTTCTCCAAATCTACCCGTCGGTCTAGTGAATTGACAGTTTTTTTTACGTTTTGCGAGGTAAAAAAGTATAAAAATTCAGATGAAAACGGGACATGTACGAATCGGATGCAATGAATTAACATCTGAAATTCAAGAAATCTGCTGACTTATTGGCTCCAAGAACTGAAAGTCAAGAGAAGGGACTTAAGACATCTGAAATTACTGTCATGACAGCCATACCTCAACAACGGCACATCACCAGCTCTTGTTGAAAAATCTAAATCGCTCATTGCATCTGTAACCATTGCAAATACAATCGTCAATTGCAAGCATTCAGACCCCTTACCTTTGGATCACGCAAACGGCAGTTCCTTAGCCGTATCTAAATTGCGGATGCCCTAACGCCCGGCGTTGGAACAAGGAATTTGTCATTTCTACATTTAAGTAAGGCAACTTATCGCCGGACTAGGGGCTTAGTACTACTGGGTCACAGTTCAAACAATCTCAATTGCCCAGCTTGATTGTTTGTAAAGGCCCTAAACGGTGGTGGGGGGTGCTTCGGCTGGGTGCTGAAGTCAGCAGATGTCGCGCGTTTCGTGTAAGGGCTATTATGTCAGCATAACAGTATACGTAAAATATCAAAAACATGTTTTTTCCCATGTCCGTCTGAAACCATTTAATGCACCCGTAGCTCTAAATCAACTTAAAGGCTTTCTCAACTATTCCATAAGCATAACAGCAGAGTTTCAGTTCTGTATTTCTACAGCTTTTCCATCGTATGTGCTTTTTTTAACATTCCGCGTTGCGGCAGATGTTTCTTGTGTCCGAGCCTTTATTGTACGCATAAGCGGACATATGGTTGTTATACCCCGACAGGCAGGTCTAAAAAGACAAGAGAGCCGGTTTATCGGATCAATGATGCCTAAAATTCAAAATATTGTTAGTTTATTGGCTCCGAGAACTGAAAGTTAAAGGCTGGCTTTTGAGTAGGTCTAAAACCATCGTCATGACAATCATATCTCAACTCCGGCACAGCACCAGCGCTTTTAGAATGATCTTAATCATTCATTGCAGCTCTCATCGTTCTGAATACAACCACCTATTGCGAACATTCATGCCACGTACAGGTGGATCTTGCAAATAGCAGTCTCTTAGCCATACCGCAATCACGGATGTCGTAACACCCGATGTTGGAAGCAGGACTTGTGCTTATTCCACATTTCATTAAAGCAACTTATCACTCAACCAATACTACTGGGTCACAGCTGAACAAATCTCGAAAGCCAAGTCTGATTCTCTGAAAAGGTCCTTGACTTGGGTGGGGGATGTTTTAGCTAT